AGTCCTGAAACACCAGGGTGGGTGGGGCCTCAGATCACCAGGTCAACCTCATTCACAGACACTGAGGCTGGGTCCCAGCGTCTAGAGGACACCCAAGGTCGAGCTAGTCTCATGTTCAAGGCAAGACAGGGACTGAAGCTTATGGAGAGGAGAGGGGAGGAGTGAGTTTGCCTATGTCCAGGCGGGAACTGCAGGGCATCAGGCCGCTGTCACTGAGCCGGGCAGGGCGTGCAGACAGCAGGCGCTTCTTCTTCTGTCTGATGGGGTCACCAGAGCATCGTCCACAGGCTCGTGTGGTGTAGACACATCCCCCGGCCTTTGACAAAGAGCCTGGTGTCTGTTCCCTGCCCTGTAACTCTGCTTCTCTGCAGTCTAGTCAGACCCTGGGCCCCAGACCTGGGCATCGGTGTTTTTCCAGGTGTGTCAGTGACTCTAGTGTAGACTGAGGGCTGAGAACCACAGAGCGTTAACCCAGGCCCCACCCCCATTTTCCAGCTTGGGGACCTGGGCCCAGAGAGAGAGCTCCACCCAGGTGACTATCAGCCCCCCGACTTAGAGACCTTCGTCTGAGAGCACACCAGCCAGCTGCACCCTCTCTGGTGTGGAGGACGGTGACCCAGGGGCAGGCGGGGGTGGTGGGAAGTCCAGCCTGTACTGTAGACAGAAATGAAGGGAAACTGAGGCCGTGCCTCCACTTGTGCGCCTGATGTTTCAAGGTGATCGTCTCTGAGCATTTGCCGCCTGGAAGCTGGGACCCGCTTAGAGTTTTCTTTACAAAGGAAAATGCTTGAACCCTCGCCTACCCCTTTGCTTTTGACAAATATTTCTCCAGCGGGGTCCTGATGTCAGGATGGGGTGGGCTGCTCCCTGCCCAGGAGGCCTGGTCTCCCTGGGTTTGGGCACAGCGCCCGCTCTCCCTGGTGCTCTCTGCACACTGAGTAGGGGGAGGGCGGCAGGCACTGGCTGTGTCCGTGATTCACGCCAAATCCCAGCTTTGCACTTAGCGGGGCCTGGAGGTCTCCACACTGGCCGAGCAATCAGTTCTTTCTCAGTCTCACCCTCCCTCGAGCCCCATCTCCTGCCACTCCTTGTCCCCCACCTCGTGTGTGGCTCCCCAGCCTTCGGAAGCCCTCAGGGGTGCTCCGGCATCCTCTGCACTCGGCGTGTACGCTTCCCTCCACCTGGAGAGCTACTTGGTGACTCTGTGGCCAGGTCAGCCAGTGACGTCCACCTCTCCCTTCGGGACTCCACGCCCCAGTCCAGGCTGCTTGGCCCACTCAGGCGGGCATCATCCTGCATTGTAACGGGCTGCCTCTGCGTCTGTCTCCACTGGGCTGTGGGCCTCCTGGGTGAACAGTGTCCTACCCCAGTTGTTGGGTGGTGCTGGCCGTGGTGCCAGAGCTTCACACTCACCTCCATGGTTTCAGCCAGTTTGCACCAGCCCGCAGTGTTGGGAGACAGCTGAAAAATCCCGTTACAGACGAGGAAGCCGAGGCCCAAGAGGGCGAGTCCATGCTCCAGCTCCTCCAGCACATGCGGGGAGAGCCCCTCTCCAGGGCTCACGTGCAGCCCCGCCCGTGCAGACGCTGCGTGGGTGCAGGTGCTCCGGGAGCTGGCATGTGCCCGGGAGGAGTGGGGCCTTCACACCTGCACAGCTGTTCCAGCTGTGACCCCTTCCAGCACACATCTGCACTGGAGCTCTCACAGCAGCCGTGTCTGTGTCCAGGGTGCTGTTCACAGACGTCAAGCTGGAATAGAACCTCTGTTCTCAGCCTCATCTCTTTTCCTTGCTCCTCCCGTCCTCTCTCAGGGGTGTTCTGCACCCACCTCAGCCCCTCCCAGGTGGTCCCCTGTGCAGGTCGCCCTGCATTTGTCCCCTGGGCACCTGCTGGGCAGGGCTGTGAGGGATACAGGGCAGGCCCACTGCCCATCTCCTGGGAGCAAAAGCCCAGGGTTTAATGATTTTCTCTGTGTGAGGACATTCCCTTCACATGATGTGTCACTTAGGATATGTTTCTGGGACAGATGGGGCCTGGTGGCATGTGTCCTATGAGAACGTCCCTGGGAACCAGAGGTTCCTCAGCCCCTCCCAGTTGGAGGCTCCAGAGAGCTGAGCCACATTCACTCAGTGTCCCCACACGGTGGGTCAGAATGGCCGGTGGGCTGTTCTGTGATGGTGGAGATATTTCGTAAAGGTCCCCTTGAGGGAGAATTTCTCACCTTGAAAGACGTTATGTTACATGAGAGAAGCCCATTAGAAAAGTCCACCTTTTATTATATGAGTCAACTCGTGAGAGGTCAGAACAGGGGAATCCATAGAGACGGGAAGTGGATCAGTGGTCACTGAGGGATGGGAGGGGTTGAGGGGGCCATAGCTAAAGGGCACAGAGTTTCTTCGAGGTGACGAAAGTGTCCTAAATTGGCTCTGGAGATGATGGCTGCACATGTCTGTGATCATCCTAAACCATGAGTTGTCACTTTACATGGGTGAGCTGTGTAGTGTGTGAGTTGTCTCTCATTAAAGCTGTCTAAGAGAGAGAGAACTTCTCCCCGCCATCTTACCATGAAACTCAGCGCTACAGAGAAAGCACACAAAGAAAAAGTCAGCATGATTCTTAAAGGCCCTTTGCAAGGTGGTGCACCCAGAGGCAGGACAGGGACCTGAGGTCCCAGGGGCCAGGGCTGGGATGGAGCACAGGGTGGGCTTTGCTCCTGTGCATGGGATTCTTACCAGAGACCCCAGGGATCTGCATAAGGGTGTGAGTATGTGTGAGTGTGTGTGTGTGAGTGTGTGTGTGAGAGAGAGCATTCCTAGGGAGCTGGAACACGGTCTTCCTCACACTGGTGGAAGCTCACACCCAAAGCAGGTGGAGAGTCGGGGTAACCTCGAAGCTTCCTCTGTACTGGGGGCCGGAGCTCAGCCCAGAGTTGAGGCCCCGTCTCGCTGGTGCTCACTCAGGACTCTGTGACGAGCTTTCAGTGTGGGGACTGCGCTCTGACTTCCCCTCACTCTTCCTGCCTTTGATTCCTGACCGAGCCACACGGGGAGGAATCGAGCTGAACGAGGTGCAGGGCACTGAGCCTGAGACCAGGGTTTGAGAGCCGCCTTCTCAGATTGTGCCATTTCCGGGTACCCCCGTGCCTTAATTTACTATGTATTTTACAGTTAATTTTTCCAGAATAACTGTATCACTCCCTTAAGAATAAACCATGCCCTTCTCCAGGTCACCTCTGCCTGCCCGTCCTTGGAGCTCATGCTCCTGGGGGAGCTCCAGACCCCTGGCTGTCCCCTGAGCCCTTCTCCTTGCCTTAGCCAGGAAAACTGAAGAGAATGGCAAAGAGAACTGTTTCCCCAATGTGGCATTCAGTGTCCCTCAATGCCATGTCCACTGGCCACATAGAAGCACCTCGGGCTCGCTGGTCCCCATGTGGGATTCCATCACTGAGGGCTCTCCCCTCCGCGTGCAGTGCCAGCTGCTCCTCTGGGATTTGGTCCATCAGCTGCTTGTTTGGGCCCACCCATCTCCCAGGAGACCCTGAAGGCCAGGGAACTAACTCAGACACTGACACACAGCTGGACGGGTCTTCCCTGTGTCCCACACCCAAGAGTCAGCCCTGAGCAAGGGGGACCTCACCCCCTCCCTCACCTGGTCAGGGACAGGGCCACTTTGTGACTAACCAGATGCACCTGTCTTGTGCTGCAGGCTGCAAAGAGGCAGTGCAGGGATCCCTGAGAGCATGTGAATGGGGACCTAGCTTAGATTGGTCCTCTTTGGATGGTCACCGGTTGACTAGGCACAGGACGCCTAGGAGAAGTGTGTCCCAGGCCGTTGTCTCTGCTCACAGGATGGACATGCCCGATCCTCCCTCTTCTCCATGCCACACTCTCATGCCTTCTAAATCCTAGTCTGTGTTAACCATCAGCACACTCATGTCCCTGTGTCAGTGCCCGTAATTGAAAAGGCCAAGTAACCCTTTTAATCTTAAAGGCAAGTGTGGATGAGATCGACACACATGTTTTATCTGTGGCAATCTGAGGATCTGGATTTAACTGATTTTGCTCCAATTAATGAAAGGTGTAAAGTGTGTCCCTCTGGCTCTGTCACGTGCCTTCCTCCAGGCCATCTCAGGTTCATCAGTAGAGGAAGTCTTCTGGGCAGAGATGCCCAGATCCGATTCATTAAGCCCAGCTTGGTTTTGATCACTCCAGATTCTTCATTGTGCTGATTTTTCTACCAAATCTGATTCTCTCCTGATGCTTCTCATCTGAGAGTCTCGGAGAACCCCTGTGAGGACAGTCGTGTCTCTTACCCAGCAGGTGGGCAGCGGGACAGGGAGACGAGGTCAAGGGACCACTTGAGTTCACACCACAGGGGCCGTAGGACTGGGAAACAGCCCGTCCTCAGCCCCCAGATGCTCAGGAGGATGTGCCAAGGGTCACAGCAACTTGGAACCTCTGACTGCAAAGCCATCCCCTCAGTGTCCCAGCCCACGTTCAGCACAGTCCTTATCTGAGTGGGGACGGTGGATGAGGCTGAGCTGACCTCATTGGGATGAAGAGGGACAAGCAGAAGGGAAGAGACGTACAGAGAGTCCCAGCTTGGGGTGAGCTTGTCTACAGGGGAGCGGGACTGTGACACTGAGGGGTGTTGTGACCCCCATGTCTGTCCTTATGCTCCTCTTTGATGGGGGCTCACTGACCATGTGAACAGTACTGGGGTGTCTTCCGGGTGATGATGGGGAAGTGCTGCTCTCATGCCGTCCTCGGTCACCCGAGGAGCCTGGCTGGGCCCTCTCTCCGGCGCCAATGCCAGTACTCAGAGCACTTCCTGGACTTGGGGATTTAAGGGCTCAGTATTTTTTATGGGGCCGACCCAGTTGCACATGATTAAGTTCAGCACTCTCCTTCCGTGGCCTGGGATTCGTGGGTTCGGATCCTGGACTTGAAACTACACACCACTGGTCAAGCCATGCTGTGGTGGGATCCCACATACAAAACAGAGAAAGATTGGCACAGATGCTAGCTCGGGGCCAGTCTTCCTCACCAGAAAAGTAATGCTAGTCATAGTGTGGTTAATATATTTTGCCAGTAAAGACCAAAGCAATCTTCTGGTCACTAACATTTCATAAAAGAAAGTATATTTTTATATAAAAAATACTACGAAGGATATAATCTTAGAATTAGCTCCTCTAATAACAATACTGGATGATATAAATCCTTTCAAGGGATGATGAATTACTTAACTTTCCTCTGCCTCAGTTTCCCCATCTGACAAATGGGTCAGTACCTTGCTCGTAGGATTGTGTAAGGACTAACTGAGTTCATATTTGTAAGCCGCTTAGGAGAGTGCCTGGCATATAAATGTGATATAAGTGCTTGTTACATAAAAAAATAAAAAAGTGTATTTAAAAATTGAATAAAGGCAAGCATGCAGAGCACTGGAAAAGACTGAGATTGGCAATCAGGCTAGACCCTGCAGGGCTGAAAGAGTCATTCTTGGTGAAGAAAATGCCCACTGCTGTGCTCTGCCTCCATCCTGTATTTCTGCCCCTCGTGCCCCAGCGTGACCTCTGGGTCTGGCCCTTCCTGGGCGTGGGCTCTCCTGGCCCGATGCTCACCCTGCCCTCCTTCCCTCTGCAGGTCTTTGGGGGCCTCGTGTGGATCCTGATCGCCTCATCCCTGGTGCCCCTCCCCCTGGCCCAGGGCTGGGTGATGTTCGTGTCTGTGTTCTGCTTCACAGGCACCACTGTCCTGCTCTTCCTGTACATGTGTGGCAGTGACAATGAGGAGACTCCCTGGTTAACCGTGGTCTTAGGCTATGTGACTGGTGCCCACTATGTGGAGAGTTTCTGGAGGAAGCATGTGAGTCCCGGCCCTGGGTGTTTGAGGAGGGTGGGTAGAGCCATCTCCCCTGGGAGGCTGGCTTTTCCAGCTCTGGCTGAGGCTGCCCTGTAGACATCTCCCACCCATGTTCCAAGGCTGAGCTGGCTGGGCCTTCAGCTCCTAGCTGTGCACAGCAGCCCGGGGCTCCCTGCAGCAAGGAGGTCAGGAGAAGGTGACGGCAGAGGTTGACTGTCACCGTCTGCTCTGCTTCCTCCTGCGTGACTGCCTTTTTCATGGGTAACCAGCTCCCCAACCCCCTCCCATGCTGCCTCCCCTCCAGGGGCCTGTTGGCACCTCCCATCATGCAGGAGGACTGGTTTCCATCTCCTGGGAGCAGGGTCCTGGGGGCTAGCCTGGGCTGCCCACTGTGAGGCCATGCTTACTGCCCAGCTCCATGTCACAGCTTCTAAAACTGGGTCACCAGAGAGGGAGCTGATGGGGGAGAGAGATGGCCTGTGGTCTCTGTTCTGCATAAAATCTTCCTTGAGGCCCATGAAGAGGGTGAAACTTACACATGGACCCCTGTCCCTTATGTCCCCTGGAAGGGGTGGGGCCATTTGGCCAGGCCTCTCACTCTCAAAAGGTCTCCTACTTACACTTGTGAAACCACCTCCAACTACAGCTACTCAGAACCCCAGTCTAGTGCTGTTTTGCTTGTAAACACACCTGGACCCCCCTGCCTCCCCCTCTCTCCCCTGCACTGGTCACTGAGCCCACATCCGAACCAGGACTGTGACCATGTATGACACTTCTTGGGTCCAGAACCAAGTTCTGCCTATTCACTCCCAAGCTGCCCCCCTCACTTGATTCCCCCCTCAAGGGAGAGCAGCGTCCCTTCTCCACTGAAGTCCTTACTCTGCCCCCAAACCAGCGAGATGAAACTCAGCTGGTCCAACGACCTCTGTGAGGAGGCGGTGGAGGGTGTAGTGATGGGTGGATGGGGTGGGGGGAGTCAAAAAGTATCAAAAGATGACCAAGGGACCTAAGCCACAGCTGCCCCACATCCTCACGTCTGGTCTCCCGATCTCTCTGACGGCCCTTTCTGACCCTGCAGGATGCAGTCTGCCATAGTACTGCTGCCCTATTTTACCTCAGCGCCTTCATCCTGGAAGCTTGGGCCGCCAGCACAATGAGAGACAGCTTCACTCAGGAACATTACCTTGAAAATGTCTTTGCTGCGGTGAGTCCCCCGTCAACCCGCCCGTGCTCACAGCTCCCACCGCTCACTGACGGGGTCTGAGCGGAAGGCTGCCCGAGCCCTCCCCTCTGTTTTTAGTTCACTGACTTTTGAATGAAATAGACCTTCCCCTCATCATGAAGAAACAAAGTCATGGAGAAGGGAGGGGACGTGCCCAAGACTTCCTTTGTCACCCGATCAGGGCTGCGCTGCCCAGGCCTGGGCTCGCCTAGGGTCCCGGCCTGGGTGGGCTTTGCAGAGGGCGGGTGTGTGAGGACGTGACCGCTGATGCCCGGCACCGTCCGAGCTCTCCGTGAACCATCATATTGAGCCCTCACAGCAGCCCTGGGGTGTGGGCGCTGTGTCGTCCCCATTTCACAGATGGAGAACCAGGGCACCACGAGCAGGATAACGTGCTCCAAGGTCACCGGGAATGGGTGGGGCTGGTGTCAGGCCAGGTGCCCTGTCAGCACCCTCAGCACCAGCTTGGAGCAGTGAGTCTGGCCCCTGGGTGTCCTGGCCCCCTGAGCGGTCTTCCATGGAAGCACAGTCAGGGGCGGGAGACTGGGGCCTGGGGTGAAAATCGAGTGGCCGGGGTCTCCCCAGGCCCTGGCTCTGGGCTGGGCTGAGGGGAGGCCCTTCTGGGCCCAGCGAGTCCAGACCCCCAGCTGTGGGTGTTTGCTGTGCCATCAGGCCTCGGCTCCTCGTGACGGCGTTTCCTGCCCCACAGCTCTGAGAACCTGTGGGAGGAGGAGGGGCCGGAGGTCGCGTCTCCACCAGCTCCCCGTGCACGTCCCCTGTGCTCCCTGAGCCTCGGCCTGATCCTCTGTGAAATGGGATGGCGATTCCTGTCCCTTCCCCTTGAGGACTGTGGATGTTGAACAGCTTCCTGCCGAGGCCTCACAGGAGCCCTGGGGGGAGCAGGGCTTGAGCCTCATTCACCCCGTCAGCAGAACAAACGCAGGGGCCGACTGTGTGTGACTGGGGGGCATGGTGTGTGCAGGTCTCTGAGCTCTAAAAGGAATGTTCTCCACTGCGGGCCAGACCCACTGATGGGGGAGGTCATGTGAGGTCATGACCTGGATTTCCTTTTTAATGGGATGGAAGAGAATGCATTGTTTCACAAAACCTTTTCCAGAGCTGTGCATGGTGGGCTTGCAGCAGCATGCTAACTCACCATATTGGATGTATTTCTAGCCATGGTTATTGTTTAAACAGTAAGAAGACGTCAGCTCCAGGAGCCAAAGCTGTGCCGTCCCCCCATTTTGGAGAAGACAGAGCAGAGGCTGAGAGAATCCCACAGGGTGGGCACTGTTGGGCTCTGGGGAAGGTTCCTCAAAGTCATGTCTGCTTGTCCCTGTGGGCCTGTCCCCTGCCCCATGGAAGCCATATGCTCCTCTTAAGCTCTCAGCCTACTCTCCAGGTCCATTAACATGGCCACCTCATGGTCCCTGCACCCCTCATGTGTCCCACAGTGTGGGAATGTCTCCCGTATTGCCTCATCTCTCAAGATGGCTGGTTTCTAAACAGTAGCACAGCCAGGCAGCCCCTAGGATGCTCTTCTTTCCCTTGGGAGGCTGGTCATCCACTCCTTCATCAACCTTCAAATGACTCTGTTTCATCTCCAGTCATCTAGAGAGCCTTATATCTCCCCCATCCCAACCCTAGAAGCTTCTCTCCAAACAGACATCATCAACGCATTTGCCAACAACTTCCGTAAAATTATTGCAGACAATGGTAATGAAATGTAGATGGAATGTGACTAGTGGTCAGCACTTGTCGGAACAACATAGATGGGGTGGATTAATGCCCCTGCCCGCTGGGCAGATCTCTAGCTGAGAACCACTGGGCTCTACCGTGTTCCGACTTCTCTTTTAGTTTTTAGTAAAATGCAACACACATCCAGAGAAGTGAGCAGGATGCAAGTGCACAGCTTGATGAATTTCCATAAAGTGAACCCTTCTGTGTAACAAGCATCCAGATTAAGAAATAGAGCATCATAAACAGCTCCCAGAAACCCCCTTCCTGTGCTGCCGCCATCACCGTGCGCCCACACCAAGGATGACCATGGGCCTGATTCCTGGCTGCCTAGCTCGATTTTTCCTGCTTTTGAACTTCATGTGAGTGGAATTGCACAGTGTGTGTCTTTTCTCTCTGGCTTCTTTCTCTCCACCTTAGGTTTGTGAGGCTCGTCTCACTGTTGGGTGGAGATGCAGTGTGTTTCTTCTCGTTGCTGTAGAGTATTCCATTCATGACTATCTCAGCGTCTCTTTATCCAGGCCACAATTGATTGTGTCCCCCTTTCTGTTAGCTGACTTGGAGAAACGTGAGCATGCCCAGGCAGAGTCAGGAGTGCCAGAACCAGGGATCACGATGTTCTCAGCAGGCAGGGGCGCTGGGCTGAAACCATCAAGGGGAACATGAGCCCGGTTCAATGTGAAGTCCCACCTTTCTGTTCAGAATATCAGCTGTGTCCATGCACAGGGGAAGGAGTCCTGGTCACTCAGAGTTCAACCCCAGACCCTGCCCAGCCATCACACGGCCTCCCATGGTCTCGGGGAGGCCCGTCTGGGCTGTGGGAGGTGTCTCAAGACCTTCTCCACACACCCCTGGCCTTGGGGAGCATCTGGCTTGCCTCTCGCCCTCTGTGACTCCTAGCTGGGACCTGTCTCAGGAGCTGAGCTTCTCCCCTGTTTGCTGACAGCAGAGTGTCTGCTCCAAAGGGATCCCTGGGGTTGGTGGGAGCCGACTGAGGGAAGCTGGAAATTTCTGCAGAAATCTGGAGGTTTCTGGATCCTAACAGTGGGGAGCAATGATGGCAGCCATTTAGGGAGAGGGGTTTCTGAAAACCTCAGGATGTCCCTTCATGTCCCTGCTGTCCGTGTCCCCAAGCTGCCATTTCTTGCCCTTGCTTGGAAAATAAGCTCTGTGTCCTGTTCCTGTGGGGACTTCTGAGGCTCCTCTGCCAAGGGTTCTCACTGGGTCTGGAGTTGCCCGGACAGTAACCTGCTCCCGCCTGATGGGCTGAGGTGTTTTGCAGGGCTGCTCACCCATGGTGACTGCTCCTTTCAGGCGGGCTGCCTCAGAGTTCCCGGATGAGCTCTCTCAGATGTGTGATCAAACACTCGGCTGACTCATCGCCTCTGGCCAAGGAGGGTGAAGGGTTCGCCCTGTGTGGGATGGGAGAGGGCAGGCCTGGGGACGGCTGGTGTCTGTGGGCATTTTCACGGGTCACAGACGCGTAGCCACCCTAAGTGTCGTGCCTGGTTGCACACTCCTGACCCCACGCCCCAGGTCACAGATCCAGGAGCAGATATGGGACTTGGGGTAAGCAGGCCTTTAGGAGTAGATGGTGCCCAGTGAGCACAGCACGTCAGGGGCTTGACAGGCCACGGGTGACCGTTTGCCACCTTTCCAGGGCCTTTGTTCCCATTGTCAAAACAGCTGACTGCATCTTCCCAGCAGCTTTCTCAGGAGCCCCTCCTTTGCAGAATCTCACAATCCCACCTCCCTGTCCCTCAGTCCTGTGAGCCTGGCTCCTTGCCCGTGTCTGTGAGATTATGACCCTAGAATAACATTCTGATGGGTGTGAGGACATCCAGGCAGCATCGAGACCTTGATCAGAGCCAGCAAACGCTGTGTTCATGTTCTCCAGCCGAGGCCGCTGGGCTCACAGCTGGTGTACCCGGCTCTTCCCGGTGTGGAGGAAGCAAGTTTCCCATGGAGACCAGTTGATACTCACCTGTGAGTATCATTTGAGGGGCCTCTGAGGACCCTGGTTTCCAGTTGGGTGGCACCATGATGCTGATGTGAGATGGCAGATGCCTGACCTTGCACGCCACATCCAGTGGGTCATGAGGTCACCTGGAGCTCTGTGCCAAAAGCATTCAGGGCCACGGCTGGGCTCAGCCAGAAAGCACGTCTGTTTGAGTGACGGGAAGCAGTGGCCGTCCACACAGTTCATGTCTATTGTCCCAAGCACCAATCTAGCCAGCCTAGTGTCGATCAGGCATGCCCATTAATGGTCATTTATCTTGTTTTCAGGTGTTTTCATATGTAGCCACTCTGCTCTACATGGTCCATGCGGTGTTTTCTTTAATCAGATGGAAGAAAGCAGCAGAAGAACTTTAGCTGAAAACCCAGATGGTGACAACTGATTGGCCGCCCTCTGGCATAGCTTTTCAGCATGCAGAAATGCTCTCCATGGTGGAAAAAAGAAACCCAAAGAAGAGCAATGCTGTGTGTCTTGAGGGTGTTATGCGGACTCTCCCCTGTCCTTCCTGTCAGGGTTGGGACCTGCTGCGTTTAACCTCCTACTCCTGAGCCATCTTTCAGGGTCATCTATTTGTGAAAGGGGGCGGTGGGGTGGAGTGTGGGGACTGTGACCTGAGAGACCATGAAACAAAGATCCCTGCTGAGCCCTGGACCGGATCTTGCGAACTCTCTGCTGGAATCTTCCACAGGCTCTTTTGAGCCCCCATGTGGTGGGTGTTTCTAAGTCTTCATGGAGATTCTCCCTGTCATAGGATAAAACTCACCCAACAAGTACTTGCAGATGTCCACAGGGGAAGATGATAAACCTTTGAAATACTTTACAAAGTGCCTTTATGTTCAATACTTTTGTCAGGTGTTTTGTGGGTTTTGTTTTGACTCCCCAGTATCAGGACCATTATTCCAGCTTTCTTTCTGAGGAATCCTGGGCTTAGACTGAATCTCTAGAGGCGACATGCAGTGGCAGTTCAGATGACAGCTGCGTGTGCTCGGCCACTGCACTCAGAGAGCCGGGCACTCAGTCTCCCACCCTCCCCAGCTACCAGGGGCCTCAGATGGCTTCACCTCTCTGGAAACTTGCTACGTACCAGCCTGGTGCTTCTATTCTTTTTCCTACAAGACAAAGGGGTCTGTGCTCAATTGGAAAGTCCTCAAGCTACAAGAAAACAAGGTGCAGAAGTTTCCTCTCACTCTGTGAAGCTGATCAGAGATGTTCTGGGCAGTGGGCTGTGTGTTCTGTTCCATTTAGTGATGTGGATAATAAACTGTTTTTAGAATTTCCTTGGGCCACTCCATAGGGATGAAAGGGGACCAGACTGCAGAGTGACAGGAAGTGAGGTGACAAGTACTGAGTGCCACATCCTGGGGATGAGATGCCCGGGTTGAGAGGAGAGGAGATAATGGGAAGGGGGCACTCAGTGAGGAATCCTGAGAGTCAGCTCCTGGCATGAAGTGCTCCTTCATCCCTTCACTCGAAGAATCCATGATGTCCCAGAGCTGGGGCCCTAGACCAGGAGGCTCAGAAACTGGTCAGCCCCCAGCCATGGAGGCGGACCGGCAGGGCTGGCTGACCTCTGGATCATGGCCATGAGGGCAAAGCTTCCAGCCTCAGGCGGAGGTTTGACTAGTTGACATTTTCCTTCCCTCCCACCTTGGGGACCTCATGACTAAATTGGGTCTCAGTGGCATCTCCAGGATGTCTTCTGTTATCCCAGGATAATTATTCCAGGAAACGGCCACTTTTAGCGAGTCCACGTAAAACAAAACTTAAGTAAAAAACTTCATTGTAAATTAGGAGCACGGGGTTTAATCGGGGCTTTATCCTGGAAAATTAAAGTACAAATTAAGAAATGTTAGGAAGTTGGTCACGTGTTTCACAAAATTTGCAATCAAGTGTTGATCGAGGGAAGTCTCATTTTTTCAACAAAACCACTGTTCACAGTCCCGGGCGCAGCACTGCGATGCCGACAGAGGCGCTCTGTTGACCCTCGTCTGAAGGAAAAAACCAAAGGCTTAGTGGAATTTCCCAAGGCTTTCTCGGTGTTTCAAATTTTACTTTACTTCTTCAGCTAACCCCTGTGACAGCCATGTGTGGTTGGTAGCATTCAGATGAGGAGTCTGAGGCACAGAGAGGTTAAATGATTTACCCAAGGTCACACAGCAAGTAGGCGTGATTTCCATGTGTCTGTCTCCTGTCTCCCAAAGTTACCTGTCATGTGCCACATCTCACTGTGACAGGGTCCTGTCCCCCTGGGAGCAGGGGCCACAGACATGCCCAGCCAGTCCTTCACACGCACAACACTGACAACACTGGTGGACGATACTGAAGTTTCTGAAGGGCACACGAGGAGTGTCGGGAAACCCAGCCAGGAGCCCACCCTCCTGGGAGGAGTGTCTGGGATGAGGGGCTTTACCAGGCAGAGAAGGCAGGGAGGGCTTTCCTAGGCAGAGCGGGGCAGTGACCCAGCCAGGCAGGAGGGGAGGGGAGGGCTCAGGAGGTTATGAGACCCAGGGGCCCTGAAGGCAAGGCTGCAGCCTGGTGTGTACCCAGGGGCACCTGCGGGGACTTCCTGTGGGACAGTGGCAGCTGGCCAGGTGAGAGATGCTGTGGGTGGGCTGCAGCAGTGGGACAGGCAGATAGGCTGGGCTGTGGAGGGGACAGACTTGACCAGATGCTGGGGAACTGAGAGCCAGTGGAGGGGACTCTGCGGACCCCTGAGCCGCCTGAGTGTGCGCCTCTCTCAGCTCAGCTCCCTTGCCTGCAGAGCAGGAACAGCCATCCTGTCTCGTGGGCTGTTGGAGGATTCAAGGACTCAGTTCAGGTCAGCCCCGGACCGAGGAAGGATGAGGACGTGCCAGCTGCGGTCACCATTATGGGAACGAAGCAGGGAAAGGTCTAGAATGATCCTGAAGTTTCTACCCTGGGCAGACGATGGTTATTCACTCTCTGTTCAGGATTCGTTAACCACGGCCCTGACATTGTCATAAACTTGGATCGATAGTTTTGCTTTTCCTCCCAGAACTGAACCCTTAATTGGCCATGTCAGAGGTTAAAATGGCCCCATCTAGTAAACCAACTTCAGTCCGTTGGGAAGGAGGCCATTTCTGCCAGAGCCCTCTGACCACTGAGTGAAGTGCACCATGAGGCCCCAGAGGGTCAGGGTCATCCCATCAGACGCTTTGGATCCTCTGTCACCTGGGCCTGAGCAGCCAGCCCGGAGCAGCCTCACCCCTTGGGGACAGCAGTGCTGGGAGGGAGCAGGGACGTTACCGATGAAGAACAGGGGACCCCAGAGGCCCAGAGACTCCTGCAGAGCACCCGGCAGGTTAGCGCAGGAGCTGGGCCTCGGCCTCAGGCACCCTCCTCTGCCACGCCCACTCGGCTTCCTGCCCCTGCTGTCCTCCTCTTTCCCCTCATTTTATTGAGATACAATTGTCAGATAACATTGTATAAGGTTGAGGTGGACAACATTACTGATTTGGTGTCTGTATGTACTGTGAAACGATCTCCACAATAGGTCTAGTTAACATCCTTCCCCTCACGTAGTTACTAGTTGTTTTTCCTTGTGTTGACAACTTTTAAGATCTACTCTTTTAGCAACTTTCCAATATACAGAACAATGTTGTCAGCTGTAGTCATCATGCTGCACATTTCATCCCTGAACGTGTTTTTATTATAACTGGAAGTGTGTACCTTTTGAGCCCCTTCACCCAGTTCCCCCACCCCCTACCCCACCTATGGCAACCACAAACCTGATCTCTGTTTCTGTGAGTTTGTTTGTTTTAAATTCCACACATAGTGAAATCACACAGTATTTTTCTCTCTGTCTGACTCATCTCACTCAGCATAAGGAAATCACTATCCCAAAGAGACATCTGCACCCCACGTTCATTGCCGCATTTTTCACAATAGCCGAGACCGGGAAACAACCTACGTGTCACTGACACATGAATGGATAAAGAAAATGTGGTATATACACAGTGGAATACTGTTCAGCTATAAAAAGAAGGAAGGACATGCTCCCATTTGCAACAACATGGCTGGACCCCCAGGGCGTTGTGCCCTCCTCTTTTAAGAAGCCCGCTGCCTTCTGCTCTTGCACTGAGGCCGAGCAGAGAGGGGCTGAATTAGCGACCTGCATGGACATGGCCAGGGGTGAAAGAGCCACCCTGTGAGTGTGAGGACACAGTGCCCAGACTCTGTGGCCCATGGGGGGACCTTGTGTCACCCAGTGTTGATGACAATCTTGTGGGTCACACAGGACATGCATCCACCAGTGGCTATAGTGGGGGCATGGCTGTCCCCGAGCATCATGCACAAATCACTCAGCACACTCTACATCCAGTGTACCGTGGATGTCAGTGATAATGATGATGATGACAATGTCATCCGCCTGCCTCATTCCTGCACAGCTGGCATATCACATCCTCCAGGGAGCTGTCCCCATCCCCAGCCAGCTCCTGGGTATCCTGGCTCTCCACACCCCCAGCCTCTGCTCCTTAGAACTGCAAGCTCCCCTTCCCACCCCCCATCTCCCAGGCAGATGCCCTGACCAGTTCTCTGCAGATGCTTGCCCATACCCAGCCCCAATAGGACAGAGGGAGGCCAGCAGGACCCAGGGGCTCTGCTCAGCCCCCAGGATGGACTGTGGCAGACAGACGAGGAGGTTAAGGGCTCCGAGAGCCCCTCTCAGGACTCATTCCCATCACCCAGGCCAGGAAGGGGCAGCCAGCAGGGGAAGTGCAGGAGACAAACTGCATATTTCCACGGACTCTTATGCTATAAGCAGGGCTTGGGTCCCCACTCTTGGCCTGTCCTCTGCCTTGGGCAAACAATGACAGGAATGCACCTGAGACAGTGTGCCCAGCATTCCGGGGTTGTTGACCAGATGCTCCGCTAGGGCTGCCCTGCCCTTCACCCCATTTACCTGAGTCCAGCAGTTTTCTGGGACCTGATAATAACAGGCAAAATATGATTGACACGTTCAGGCGATCTCTGTGCCCTGATGCAGCCCTGGCTGTAATGGAAGGGGCAGGGGTTCTGGCCTCACTGGGCAGGGAGGTGGGGGAGAGGGTGATGGAGGGATTGAGAAAGCCCCTTCCCATCTGCTCAGCTTTGCTCCCTCCCCTGTTACACACGAGGGTCCCCAGGGGCCAGTGTACCTTCTCCATGTGACTGAAACTAAGAGCTCCACAGATGTTCTCTGCTGTCACCTCACAACCATCCCACAACAGTCCTATTATCATTTCCACTGTGCGCATGAGGAAGCAGGTTCTTGGACACCGAATGATGCCCATCTGAGGACCCTGCTAAGTGGTGAGCCAGGCCTGAACCAGGGCAGGCAGACCCAGAGCCCAGGCAGGGCTGGAGCCGTCCCTGCAGAAGTGTCCCATAGACTAATGTGTCCCCCATGTTCCCTGCATCCCTTGACCACTGGTCTCCCCACTTCCCCGTCCCCAGGCCTGGCTGGATGCAGGTTCTCAGCTGCCCCCGTCACCTTTGGGTCTTAAAAGGGCAGCTGATCCCGAAGATGCTGGCAGTTTAGCAGGAGGCCCTGGAGAATCCTCAAGGAAGGCTCTCACGGTGTGTCTCAGGCCCCAGGACCCGGCTCTTTTGTGCCCTGAAACTTTGCTCTCAGTGAGCATGTTCTTCCTGCTGGGTGGGGAGAACAACCCACAAGGAGTGGACCCCCCGATCTGTGATGAGCAGGAGGAAGCCCCCAGCTTGCTTAAGCAAACTCTGTCTCTTCGGGTCCAGAGAAGCTGTTTCCCAGACAGCTGTGAGGAAGAGCAGATGTGGCTGCAGAGGCCGTCAGGGCCTGTGAGGTGGCGGGTGGCTGGGAG